TGACTGCATGCATACTACAAGCTATGGTCAGTGACTGCATGCATACTACAAGATATGGTCAGTGACTGCATGCATACTCCACGCTATGGTCAGAGACTGCATGCATACTACACGCTATGGTCAGAGACTGCATGCATACTACGAGCTATAGTCATTGACTGCATGCATACTACAAGCTATAGTCACTGACTGCATGCATACTACAAACTATGGTCAGTGACTGCATGCATAATACAAGCTATGGTCAGTGACTGCATGCATACTATGGTCAGTGACTGCATGCCTACTGTAAGCTATGGTCAGTGACTGCATGCATACTATAAGCTATGGTCAGTGACTGCATGCATACTACAAGCTATGGTCAATGACTGCATGCATACTACAAGCTATAATCAGTGACTGCATGCATACTACAAGCTATAATCAGTGACTGCATGCATACTACAAGCTATGGTCAGTGACTGCATGCATACTACAAGCTATGGTCAGTGACTGCATGCATACTACAAGCTATGGTCAATGACTGCATGCATACTACAAGCTATAATCAGTGACTGCATGCATACTACAAGCTATAATCAGTGACTGCATGCATACTACAAGCTATGGTCAGTGACTGCATGCATACTACAAGCTATGGTCAATGACTGCATGCATACTACAAGCTATAATCAGTGACTGCATGCATACTACAAGCTATAATCAGTGACTGCATGCATACTACAAGCTATGGTCAGTGACTGCATGCATACTACAAGCTATGGTCAGTGACTGCATGCATACTACAAGCTATAATCAGTGACTGCATGCATACTACAAGCTATGGTCAGTGACTGCATGCATACTACAAGATATGGTCAGTGACTGCATGCATACTCCACGCTATGGTCAGAGACTGCATGCATACTACACGCTATGGTCAGAGACTGCATGCATACTACGAGCTATAGTCATTGACTGCATGCATACTACAAGCTATAGTCACTGACTGCATGCATACTACAAACTATGGTCAGTGACTGCATGCATACTACAAGCTATGGTCAGTGACTGCATGCATACTATGGTCAGTGACTGCATGCCTACTGTAAGCTATGGTCAGAGACTGCATGCATACTATAAGCTATGGTCAGTGACTGCATGCATACTACAAGCTATGGTCAATGACTGCATGCATACTACAAGCTATAATATACCTACCACACCACAAGCGTTAAGCGGTGTACCCACCAAGTACTGCCTCCATCCTCCGCATTTTCCCCGTAGCTCTGACAAGCGCAACACAAGGGGTAAAACTCTCAATTTTTTATGCATGCATACTACAAGCTATGGTCATTCCCTGCATGCATACTACAAGCTATGGTCAGTGACTGCATGCATACTATGGTCAGTGACTGCATGCATACTGCAAGCTATGGTCAGAGACTGCATGCGTACTATAAGCTATGGTCAGTGACTGCATGGATACTACAAGCTATGGTCAGTGACTGCATGCATACTACAAACTATGGTCAGAGAGTGCAGGTATGCTACAAGAGATGCAGGGGCATAACTAGAAATTACAGGACCCCATAGCCCCCCCTACAAAGTGAAGCTGAGAAAGGGGGTTATATTGCACTGTGTAATCCTTCTCAGTGTAATTATCACTTCAAATAACACTGCCACACCAAAGAAGGATTACAGACTGCAATAAAACCCTTTTTCCCCAGTTTCTTTGGTGTGGCAGTGTAAATATAACATTGTCACTATATCGCCTTGAAGAAGTGACCTTACGTGGCCCCGGAGCGTTGGCATGACAAATGTTACAATGATCTAATGAATTGAACTAGAATTCATGATTCTACTATACAGTGTATGTGTGCTGGTGACTTTCCATTTACCACATTTTCAGGGACAGGAAATGAGTGAAAATCTCCCCAACAGGGTTACATACAGAAATCAAAACCTGACTGAAATGATAACTCTTCCCCACTATATCCTATTTGTAAAAAATTTATCTGGATTTCTTTTTTAAACAGCTCTGTAGCACGGCATGGTATTAGCTGATGGTGGATTGACAAACCTGCAGTGTATTTGTTTTTAGCATTGTGGCTTTTTATATTTTCATTGTGCATTTGTAGATGTGGTTTTATGTAAATACGTAACCAGTAATTGCATGTTATTGTCTGATATTCATCTCCCACTGATCCCGAGATAAAAGCAACTATTGTGTGCACATTAATAACTGCTTAGTGTTTTATGGCTTAGAGCTCTGTAATGTTGTTATTAAGTCTCAGCTGAAGCTCGGTAATTAGCATCAGTTGTAAATGACAAGATTTAGGTGATAAGCGGCATGGTGCTGGAATCATGCGACTCCTTTCTCTTACTTTCACCAGCCAGTACGGAAGCCTCCATAACAGCCCCTCTCAACCATGTTTCCGAGGATCACTAGGGTTCCTCCCAAAGTTCCTTAAGCAACGGGCAATGTTGTACCTCTCAGATAAGGTACAACTGACACCATTGATCTTTTTAGCTATCTGTAAAGCTTACTACACACGTTACCGTCTGATTGTACAATTTTATTCAGATCTACCAACAAGTATGTAGCTCAAAGGCCTGTCTGATGGGATATGAATCGATTGGATAGTTAAGTAGATCCTCATATTAGATAGTTTTGGTAGATCTAAAGTTGATTGTGCATAGATTGTATGGTCAGACTATGATGTATATGATGGGCCTGAGGGTGGCATTCTTCCCAAAGACCACCAATGTAAGAAGCATTCTTCCACTGATTACCATTGTAATGGGACATTTCTCCTACTGACCACCAATGTAAGGGGCCCTTCTTCCACTGGCCACCAATCTAAGAGGCCCTTCTCCCACTGGCCACCAATGTTAGAAGCATTCTTCCCACTGATTATTATTGTAATTGGGCCTTACTCCCTCAGACCACCAATCTAAGAGGTCCTTCTCCTACTGACTACTAATGTAAGTGGGCCCTTCTCCCATTGTCCACCAATCTAAGAGGCCCTTCTCCCATTGACCACCAATCTAAAATGCCCTTCTCCCATTGTCCACCAATCTAAGAGGCCCTTCTCCCATTGACCACCAATCTAAAAGGCCCTTCTCCCATTGACCACCAATCTAAAAGGCCCTTCTCCCATTGACCACCAATCTAAGAGGCCCTTCTCCCACTGACCACCAATGTAAGGGGGTCCTTCTCCAATTGATCACCAATCTAAGAGGCCCTTCTCCCATTGACCACAAATCTAAGAGGCCCTTCTCCCACTGACCACCAATGTAAGAGGCATTCTTCCCACTGAATATCATTGTAATTGGACCTTTCTCCCACTGACCACCAGTGTAAGAGGCATTCTTCCCACTGAATATCATTGTAATTGGACCTTTCTCTCACTGACCACCAGTGTAAGGAGGCCCTTCTTCCATTTACCTCCACCGTAAGGGGGGCATTCTCCCACTGACCACCAGTGTAATGGGGCCCTTCTCTCATTGACTACCAATCTAAGAATCCTTTTTCACACCAGTGTAAGGGGGCATTGATCTACTGGCCTCCAATGTTAGGGCCATTGTTACTATTTGTTTAATTTTATTGTTATTACTCAAAATGTTTTTTTTTAAGGCTTTTATTCATTTATTTACACCTGTTGAGCCTGCCAGTAATACACACCCTATGCTAGGGTGACAATGCCCATTACCATATCTGTAGTGGAGCAGCATTGTCACCCTAGGACAAGAACAGTGTTAGGACTACAGGATCCCTCACCCCCTTCTCATCTCTATAACACAGAACAACATATTCTGTAGTCCACAGGTTCTCTAGTGTACTCAGTGCTTTTGCAAAATATTGGCCTCCTGATAATGGAAAAGTACCAAAAAAAATGTTTTGGCTTTAGAAATGCTTTAACAAACCTCTATTTCTCTCTACAGCAGGGGTGCTCATTAGGTAGATTGTGATCTACCAGTAGCTCTCAAAGCTGATGCTGGTAGATCACGAAGGGTGTGAATGGCGGCCACTTTATTCCAATTTGGTATACAGGTGAAACTCGAATAATTAGAATATCATGCAAAGGTAATTGCAGTAAGTGCTGCAAAAGGGGCCCAAACCAAGTACTGAGTACATATGCATGCTTGTACTTTTCAGAGGTCCGATATTGTTCTATGTACAATCCTTGTTTTATTGATTGCATGTAATAATCTACTTTTTTTGAGGTTGTGGATTTGGGGTTCTTGGGGTTTTCATGAGCTGTAAGCCATAATCATCACAATTATGACAAATCACGGCTTGAACTATCTTGCTTTGCATGTAATGAGTCTATCTCATATATTAATTTCACCTTTTAAGTTGCATTAGTGAAATAAATGAACTTTGCACGATATTCTAATTATTCGAGTTTCACCTGTATTTATTTAGCTGTGCACACATGATTACCTATTAGCCTGAGTCTGCTGAGCCAAGCTCACTGACACCTTTCAGCTGGATACTGGTGGTTGAAGTGCTATGTATTACATCAAAGAATATTAGTTTACACAGTCTGTTGCACTACATTGTTTGCAAAATACAGCAAGGCGAGCCAGGAGAGAGAGAGCGGGGAGAGACAGACAGGAGAGACAGGAAAGACAGCCAGGGGAGAGAGAGCGAGGCGAGACAGACAGGAGAGACAGGAAAGACAGCCAGGGGAGAGAGGGAGAGAGGAGAGACAGCCAGGGGAGCACAGAGAGAGCGAGGAAAGACAGCCAGGAGGATGAGCAAGGAGAGACAGCCAGGAGAGCGAGGAGAGACAGCCTGGAGAGAGAGAGCGAAGGAGTTTTTTTTTCGTTGGTAGATCTCATGTAGCTCGTCATTTGAAAAGTAGATCTTAACACAAAACATTGTGGGCAACCCTGCTCTACAGAATGCTGCACAGAGTCAAATGAGCCCCCTGTAAAACAAATGCTGCTGATAAATTAGCTGTATTTCAAACTATGGGCAGTAATGAAGTTTTACCTGGAATTTTGCAGGCATGCAGCAGAAGGTGGGAAGACTGACTCCGGAAGCAGAGCTGGCCAGGAGATGTCTGCAGCTGAGCGAGGAGATGAGCCTGCCAGATAAAATGGGACACACCAATGCAGAATGGAGAGCTCTTCATATGGCCGCCTGGAATGGGAACACTCGCCTTGTAAAACAACTGCTCCAACAAGGAGAAAAGATTGATGACAGGTTTGTTACAGTACACTTAAAGCCAATGTAAAATCTGTCTTCTCCCAATCTCTTTACACCATGCTCATACTGGGCAAATTAAACAGGTTTACTGTATGTTACCCTCTAAAGAGACCCTGTCGCCAGTCTAAGCATTTTAATTTGAATGCTTTTATTAAAACATGAAGAGTAACAGATATATGTGTGCTTTTTTAATTTTTTTTATTTGTTGCTTCAAATTTGTTCCTTTAATTATAATGAATAGAAACCGACACTTCCAGGAGTGTCAGATCCTACTATCCTCCAGCTTGTTCAGGCAATACCTATACTAGGGCGACCACATTTTGTCTTTGTCTTCCAGTTGTGCCCTTGCGTTGTCACCCTGTCACATGGGCTTCCACGGGACAATACAAATGGCCCTCTTAACACACATTATGCGAGGGTGGGGCACAAAATGATTTGTGTATCTAATAGATATATACAGGGCCGGATTTACTCTCTCTGCTGCCCCAAGGCCAGGTTCCTCAATGCATATCTCAGTTGTTTTTAATGAAAGTCAATTTTTTTTGTAAATTGAATTCAGTACTAACATGCCGCTCTGGGCTTTCATTAAGTACGATTGTACTATATACTAGAAATCTGATGGAAACGTTGAGGTTTTGTTGGGATTTACTCTCTATTTATGAAGTTAAGCCTTTACCAGCCTCGATGTGTATTGAACACGTTAGGACTTTGCACGTGTTGCACTTTATTTATTGAAGTTTCTTGGCTGCAGGTTCCCGGCTGGTCAACAGAAAGGAGAACATTTGTTAGAGCAGAACAATCCAATGTTTTGAATGCTGTAAAATACACAACCTTTTATGTCATTCTATGAGTCCTGTCACATGCAGCAAAACAATTATTTACCAATGTTTAGAAAGCAATTAATATAAAGACATAGGAATTCTCTGTTTTGTTAGTTAATGGGGCCATTTCACTAAGATGGATGAGTTATGTAAAGCACGTGTAAATCCTAAATGAAAGGTTTGTCATAGCATGTAAACATGTAATGAAATACTTGTTTTTCCCATTGTTTTTATCCTTTTTTGTATCTTATTGCTGCTGATCAGCTGCAGCCTGAATAAAGCCACTTCTTGAGTAGCATGGCATTTCTCAGGGTGGGTTTCCTGAGGGTGACAACAATGGAATTTTTTTGCATAATGTAAGTTGAAATCACGGCCAATGTATTCTTGATTAAAAGCCCAAGTGACAGGGTGACAACACAAGAACACCATCGGGAGATGGGGACAGAGTGTCGTCACCCTATAACAGGAAGTGCTTGAACAAAGACCTTGATGTCAGGACCACCCGGTATTATTAACGAAAGCTAGCTACAGACTTAAAGTAGTATTAAAAGCAGGGCATTTTTTTACCTTAATGCATTCTCTACATTAAAGTAAAAAATTCCCCGTACTCTGTACCTTTCTGTGTCCCCCAATCCCCCCCCCCCCAAAAAAACATTTTTGTCAGCGCCGCTTGTAACTGCTGCCGGTCCCCGAATCGATCCTCCGTCCCGAATTTCCTGGTTGCAGGTGAGGAGATTGAGGGCAGATGAGCCATAGGCTCCTTCTGCTGTCAATCAACCTATTAGGTGGAGAGGAGGAGTGTGGCCGGCCGCTGGGCTGTATGTGTCTATGGATGCACACAGCCACGGCTGAGAACGAGCACGCACGGGTGCCTCCATAGCAGCAGTTAGCTGATGGAGGCACCTGATCTGAGTCACACAGGGGTGCCACCATGTCTACAAATTTAAAAAAAGAAAGGTCATAAAGGTCATAATAAACTCACAATTTTTTCTTAAATAATGAATCCAGATCAAAAAAATATACATTCTCCAGCAAAGTATTTCTTTATATATTTTTACCCAGGCACTTACAGTCATCATGTTTACAAACAGCTCCAACTCTCTAAGCTCGGCTTCCCTGAACTTCCTGCTCAGTACAAGATCACAAGGGACAGAGCAGTCTCCAGCAGCCGTCTACTAGCATGGAGAAGGCAGAAGAGGGGAGCAGGGTAGTGATTTGCCTAACCACACCTGCATGTTTGTGGAGACACACAGCTTACTAGCACACACAAGGGTGGCTCTATAGGACCCAGCAAGGGAAAGAAGGCACCCTAAAACAGGAGCTCAGGGCCAGTGCTCAGGGGATCAGCTGATTCTGCAGGGAACTAAAACTTTTAAGCATCAAGAAGCAGCATCCATTGTAAGTGATTTCATCAGCATTTGAAATAAGCTAAAAACCTTTTGACTTTAATACCTATTTTCACTATATGCCCTTTTACTATTAGAATTATTATGTAATTGTAAAATAAATATTGATAATTCGTATTTTTTTCTCCCAAAGGGATGAACTTGGCTGGACCCCTCTACACTGTGCAGCTTCAAACGGTCACTTGGCCACATTAAAACTGTTGATCCAACGAGGGACTTCTCTGAATACCCAAGACGCCTCGGGCTGCACCCCTCTCCACCATGCTGCATGGAGTGGCCATACCAACCTGACCGAAGTACTTCTTAAGCGCGGGGCCAATGCCACAGCCCCTACAAAGGGAGGCCTCACGGCCCTGCACTTAGCCGCTGCCAATGGGCACACTCTCATCACCCAGCTCCTACTGAAACAAAACCTGCACCCATGTATAGGTGACAACAACCAATGGAGTCCTTTACACTGGGCCACAGTGAGTAATCACGTCCATATCATGGATCTGCTCGGTGACTATGGGGTCCCTCTAGGACTGGAGGCTGCTGGGAATCTTACCCCAATGCACATCGCTGCAGAGACTGGAAAACTAGAAGCTTTGGGCTACCTGCTGGAAAAGGGAACTGATGTGAACGCTCAAGACCAGCTAGGCAGGACTGCGCTGGCTGTGGCAGCCAATAATGGTAGCTTGGAGGTGAGTAAACTCAGCAATAGAGCAAGACAGATTATGGCATGGAACTCTCATTTCTGTAACTAGGGCAACTGAATTCCCCCAAACAAAGAACAAGATGTACTTAATTATAGTACACAAGGAAAGAAAGACGGGTAATTAGTCCTGGCAGACACCAGTCTCTTGCAAAAATGTCTTTGATCTGGACAAAGGAGAATAAATACACGTGTTAGAACATATACTGGCACGTTGTATGACAAGGTTAGACAGGCATGTGGAATACAATATATCTTCCTTCCATGTTTTTTCTTTTTGAAGAAAGGTTAGAAATGCTGTCAGCTTTTATTGCTGTCTCTATCTCTGTTGGAACTGCTTGCACAGCCTCACAGAGAAACACAAGCACACAGTCTGATATGCTTACTGCACATGGCTTGGCTAAAACAGGAAGGAAGCCACAGCTTTATTCTCTACCTTATTCAATACAACAGAGAATCTACCATAGATATAACAGAACTTATAAACACACTGCCATCTAGTGACCGAAATTGTATACTGCAGGAGTTATTGCTATAAACACAGTACTGTGTATTCTAACAATCTCTCGTGAGAAAACCTTCCCTCAATTCCTGTCAATGGGGACAGAGAAAGCAACTAAAACACTTATTCGATTTAACATTTTATTCTGACTCTGCCAACTTTGATCCTCATTTGGGTTACTTTGAAAACAAATGCAGTACATTTCTGCAATACATGCACATTTCACCGTGTTTTATTATTTTAAAATGCTGCAAGAACAGGATAATACTTGGTGATCCTTGTAGAAATCCAGTGCTCTCCTACTTGGTGTTGGCTTCATTGAAATCCCAACAGTGTTGTTAGCTCCGAGATCTTCCCTGCTGGACTCTGAACTCTGCCTATCCCATCCCCTCTCTGTCCCTCTTCATATAAAGACATTGCTCTATTTACCAGTAAAACAATGCTGCAACCCAAGAGCCTGAGATCCTGTTATGGCTATTCTTGTGCATGACAAAATCTGGTAAAGACCCATCCATGGTGGAAATCTGTTTATTTGTGGAAGTTCTATACATGGCAACAAATGTGCAAAGGTGATTACAAATTAGAGAGCAATATTACCACCCAGGGCTATCCCTACAATGAGGCAGCCTGAGGCTATTGCCTCATACACTTGGTGGGACATTGGCAAGAACATCCCAGGTTGCTAAGAGTTGGGCAAGCTCTTAGCTGTTAGCAGCTTCCCTCTCCTAGCGGTTAGTGGCATCCCCCCTGTTTAGGTGCACCACCAGCATCTCCCCCTGCCTCTGGTAGTCTTTCTTAACCAGGGGGCCTTCTGGTTGCCTCAGGGGTGCCTCCAACTTTGCACACAATGTCATGCCTCTGAAGTAAAGGGGAGCTCCTGATGTAAAAGGGAACCCTGTTAATTTGCATTTTTGTGTGGGGCCCTCCTTAAAATCCATACCAGACCCCTATCTTGACCCTATCGATTATATAAACTAGGGATGCACCGATACCGGTATTTCGGTACCGAGTACCGATACTTTTTTTTCGGTACTCGCGATACCGAATACCGAGTCCCATTCAGGAAGCCAGGCGGCGTGTAATGACTCGCCACCTGGCTTCCTGATTACCCGGGAAGCCGGGCAGCGTGTAAAGACTCGCCAACCAGCTTCCCGATTAGCAATGAAGCGCTGCCAGACCAATGATGCGCTGCCCGGCTTCCTGATTGGCCGGTAAGCCGGCTCCATGCTCTCTCGTCACAAGTGACGAGGGAGCATGGAGCCGGCTTTTTGGCCAATCAGGAAACAGGGCAGCGTGTCATTACGGCTTTCTGATACAGGAAGTCTCGGGCTAGGCATTGGAGCATTTGGGCGAGTACAAGTACTCAATCAAATACTCAGTATCGGCACTGATACCGATACTAGTATCGGTATCAGTGCATCCCTAATATAAACATTTTGTGCAAATAGCATGCAATATAAAAAAATGCAGCTATCATTTTTTTTACTCAGCAGGGACTCTGCTTTCAGAAAATATATCATTGTTTGGGGGTTAAAAGCTATTTTTTAATTCAAAAATTCTGATTTTAAAATGTAAAAATTGCTCCAGCTCCAGTTTCCTTATTTTCTTACCTAGCAACTCAACTCTTCCCAGCCTGCCGATTTCATCTTCCTACTCTTGTTCTCCTCTCACAGGTGATCCGGCTATTGTTGGAGAGGAAAGCTGAGGTGGACATCCCAGATAAACATGGACGGACAGCACTACACAGAGCAGCGGGTGCGGGACACCTCAGTGTTGTACAGATGCTTGTTCAGAATGGAGCCTCTGTAACTACAAAGGACAGTCTGGGCCTCAATGCAATGCAGAGGGCGGCCCTGCTGGGACACCTCCAAGTGTCTACTTACCTACAAGAACAGACTGCATTAACTGAGGATACGCCTTCAGAATGAAGCCCTAAGGATTGTCCACGTTTGAAAAAAAAATAAAAGCTTTTTTAAAATGATTACATGGAATGTGTCACCAGCAAAACTATGCTTTTACAGTCCACAAATCAGAACTATGTTTTTACTTAGGGGTGTTTTTACAATCAACTTGCAGAGCCATTTGTCCTGCAAAACTGCATGAACATTCGTTTTGCACGAATGGAGAGCATGCTCTCTTTGCAGGTCGTATGTAATATCGGGTAAATACCACATTATGGCCACCAGATGGAGCTGAAGTGCATAGGAAAAAAGTATTTATTTGCTATGTGCCTCGGCTCCATCTAGTGGCCATAATGTGGCATTTTCCTGATACAACATTCGACCTGGAAAGAAAATATACTATATTATGCTTTTCATTTTTGCCTCCATTTACACAGAACAATGGTACATGCAATATTACAGGGTGAATGGCTCTATGAATTGTTTATAAATGTACCCCTAAGTGTCTAGCACAATATTACAATATGCTACTTACTGCCTTAAAATTACAGGCTCAGCATTACTGAGTTCCCTGCCCAGGCACATGATAGCAGGAAGAGGGTCCTTACCCCTGTATCTGTCCCCATGTAATTTCCTTGCCTATTACTGACTTTGACTTCTGTTTAGGAAATGCATCCGGCCTTGCTTCCTCGCTGCAGAGTTGCAGTATAAGCCACCAGGGGGGAGGGATTTAGGATGCAGAGTTGCAGTACAAGCCACCAGGGGGGAGGGATTTAGGAGGCAGAGTTACAGTACAATCCACCAGGGGGGAGGGATTTAGGAGGCAGAGTTGCAGTACAAGCCACCAGGGGGGAGGGATTAAGGATGCAGAGTTGCAGCACAAGCCACCAGGGGGGAGGGATTCAGGAAAACATGATCCTCCCATTCACCAATGCCCCATACATGGTTTGTAAATGTAATGTTCCTGTTAAATGTAATAGAGGGATGTATGCATTCGGGGGGAGTGGGGGGGGGGAATTAACATGCATGGTGGGGTTCACCAAGTGTACCAATCAGTGGGGAGCATGAGCTTTGCTGACTGCAGAGCTATAGGTGTGGCTCAGCAGGGGGCATGTTTGACCTCTGAGGAGAGACTGCTGCTTCCACACAGAGAACAAGGACTCTACTCTGCAGCATGCTGGCAGGGGACAGACTTTTCTACTCAGACTGTGTTAGAAAGAGAATGAACCATAAGACACCTTTTGCTTGATGCACTCAGAATGTATTTTGCTGATTTTAAACTCAGAGTTCAATTGGCTTTTTATTTACCATGAAAGTTTCGAGTTTATCAAAATAAATGATTAATAAAAGGGATATTAGTAAACATTTTGGTTGTTTAAAAACCATCCTGTAATGTTTAAAAAACACGTTAACACTGTAAGTAGATAATAATAATAATAATTAGAGGTGCAACTAAATGAAATTTTAAAAGTGAAATGAAACCGAAATGAATAAAACAAGGTCCGTCAAAATGTTTTTTTTTCTAACTTGTTCAAAATTAAAAAAAAAAAAATTTTAATTAAACTTTTTAATTTTTTTACATTTATTTTTATTTATTCATTTTTTATTAAATATTTGTATTTTTTTTACTTTACTTTTAGGTGCTTCGGGGAAATGTTGGGGCTATAAACAGACCCCTGATATTTCTCTTTTAAAATAGAGATTGAGAACACAGAGTCCTCATTCTCTTTTTCTGTGTCTCCTGTTATCAATCAACAGGAATCCTCTATACTGAGTGTTCCTGTTCATTGATAACTTGAGAATATTGTGTGTTTACTATATCCACAGACATGAATGAACAGGAAGTGATATAGAGCACTTCCTGTTCATTGATAACTTGAGAACATTGTATGTTTACTATATCCACTGACATGAATGAACAGGAAGTGATATAGAGCACTTCCTGTTCATTCATAATTGAGTAAATAGTAACAATTCTATGTCCTCAATTATTTACAAACACTCAGCTATCACTGATCACCAACTGCTTGTACCGGCTCTCCTTCCTGACACAGGAGGCTAAGCGAGCGGAGCGGGAGGAGAGCTCGATCTGACAGCTGACTCTTCCCCTGCACCTCCTGTGACAGCGCTGCCCGTCTCCCCTCACACTGCTCTCCTCTGATCTGTGACAGGAGGCTGAACTGTGCGGAGAGGAGAGATGCCGGCTACTCACAGCGTTCTCCTCCCGCAGCGTTTGGCCGCCTGTGACAGCTTCTCTCCTCCGCGCTGGGACACAGAGCATCACCCAGTGGGGAGGGATGCGCCGCTGTATTGGCAGAAAAATGGCACTTTCACATGTTTTGGCGGCCGTTATATCGGTGCATACCTAATAATAATAATACTAATTTGTTCACAGGAACCAATGACATTCTCACAGTGGCTGGCCCTACCGGGTCCACAAACTTTACTAAGTCGACTTTTGTCAAGGAGTCGGACTGAATATTGTGAGTTGCACACTGATCAGCGGCATTCACTGGGTATTCTAACAGCAGCATTTGTAAAGAAATGTCACCAGCTTTAAGCCTGATGAAGGGGACCCTGTGTGGCCCCGAAAGCGCTTGTTTCTACTTTGAGTGACTTCTGAAAAATAATAAAATTAAGATTCACTGAAATTGACGTGTTTGTCATGCTGGTGTGCTGGTGACATTTCTTTACAAACTTTGCTTGATGCGGTGCCATCCGCAGTCACTGCGAGCACTCATTTTTGCCTATGAGAATTCCGGTAAGGTAGTGCTACAGGACTTTTGATATTCTAACAGCAGTAAATGAAGGTGTACGCACCTTCATTTACTATAGCTGTTGGGCTGCTTATTAGGTCTATCAGGGAGGCATGCTGAAACACAGATTTAGGGTTTACATAGACTTTATTTTTTGGTGATGACATCACAGCATTGCCTTGCGTTCTCTTCTACCTGCAGTTCAGCTTTTACACTGTCATAACCAGCCTATCATCAGGCACACACCCGCAGTATTATCATCCTCCAGCAGGGGGAGCTGGCGCTCTTCCCTATAATGATTCCTTGTCTTTGACCCAGCCGTCCTCCTTGCAGCCAGCTCGGTGGTTACCAGCGCTGCAGCAAGCGGAGACTCCGCCCAATCGGCTTGTGCCCGCCCACCGCGCCGCCTGCTACACACGGGTAGAGGCGGAACGTGTCACCTTAGTGCGGGCGCGTCATTTCTTCCACCTTCCCCCTGTGCCGGATTTCCTACTTCCGGTTTGCGGGAAGAACGGTGCGGTGGAACCTGTCTGTGGATTGTGGCTACGTGTTCAGGTAACTGATTGTATATATCGACGTGTGTGTGTGTTTGTTTTGAAACAGGTTTTCTAACAGGCTGTCTCACTCCGTGTCAGCTGTAATATAAACACAAAGACCCCAACATCACATACACACCAGCCTGATCACTATACCCCCTGTGCTGTATATATACATGGAGACTCCAGTCATCACATACACACCAGCCTGAGCTATACAACTCCCTCTTCTGTACATGGAGACCCCTGTCATACACACCAGCCTGGTCTCTACACCCCCCTGTGCTGTGTATATACATAGAGACTGCAGTCATCACATACACAGCAGCCTGAGCTATACAACCTACTCGTCTGTACACTGAGACCCCTGTCATCACATACACAGCAGCCTGAGTTATACAACCCCCTCATCTGTAAACGGAGTCCCCTCTCATCACATAGACACCAGCCGGAGCTATACAAGCCCCTCATCTGTACATGGAGTCCCCTGTCATCACAGACCCACAGCCTGAGCTATACAACTCCCTCATCTGTACACGGAGTCCCCTGTCATCACAGACCCACAGCCTGAGCTATACAACTCCCTCATCTGTACACGGAGTCCCCTGTCATCACAGACCCACAGCCTGAGCTATACAACTCCCTCATCTGTACACGGAGTCCCCTGTCATCACAGACCCACAGCCTGAGCTATACAACTCCCTCATCTGTACACGGAGTCCCCTGTCATCACAGACCCACAGCCTGAGCTATACAACTCCCTCATCTGTACACGGAGTCCCCTGTCATCACAGACCCACAGCCTGAGCTATACAACTCCCTCATCTGTACACGGAGTCCCCTGTCATCACAGACCCACAGCCTGAGCTATACAACTCCCTCATCTGTACACGGAGTCCCCTGTCATCACAGACCCACAGCCTGAGCTATACAACTCCCTCATCTGTACACGGAGTCCCCTGTCATCACAGACCCACAGCCTGAGCTATACAACTCCCTCATCTGTACACGGAGTCCCCTGTCATCACAGACCCACAGCCTGAGCTATACAACTCCCTCATCTGTACACGGAGTCCCCTGTCATCACAGACCCACAGCCTGAGCTATACAACTCCCTCATCTGTACACGGAGTCCCCTGTCATCACAGACCCACAGCCTGAGCTATACAACTCCCTCATCTGTACACGGAGTCCCCTGTCATCACAGACCCACAGCCTGAGCTATACAACTCCCTCATCTGTACACGGAGTCCCCTGTCATCACAGACCCACAGCCTGAGCTATACAACTCCCTCATCTGTACACGGAGTCCCCTGTCATCACAGACCCACAGCCTGAGCTATACAACTCCCTCATCTGTACACGGAGTCCCCTGTCATCACAGACCCACAGCCTGAGCTATACAACTCCCTCATCTGTACACGGAGTCCCCTGTCATCACAGACCCACAGCCTGAGCTATACAACTCCCTCATCTGTACACGGAGTCCCCTGTCATCACAGACCCACAGCCTGAGCTATACAACTCCCTCATCTGTACACGGAGTCCCCTGTCATCACAGACCCACAGCCTAAGCTATACAACCCCCTCATCTGTACACTGAGACCCCTGTTATCACATACACACCGGCCTGAGCTATATAACCCCCTCGTCTGTACACAGAGACCCCTGTCATCACATACAAACCAGTTTCATTTCTACACCCCCTGTGCTGTATATAAAGACATCACCCTGTCATCACATACACACCAACCTCATTTATAGGCTCCCTTGTGCAGTGTATATACATGGAGACCCCATTCATCACTTAGACCCCAGTCATCACATACACACCAGCCTAATTTATAGACCCCCCTCTACTGTACATTCATGGAGACCCCAGTCATCGCATGCCCACCAACCTTATTTATAGATTCCCCCTCTACTGCATATACAGTAATGTGCAAACGTTTAGGGTAGGTGTGAAAAAATGCTGCAAAGTAAGAATGCTTTCAGAAATAAAAGTGTTAATAGTTTATTTTTATCAACAAAATGGAAAGTAAATGAACAGAAGAGAAAATCAAATCAATATTTGGTGTGACAACCCTTTACCTTCAAAACGGCATCATTCCTTCTAGGTACACTTGCACGCAGCACGCAACACACACACACCTCCATGTACTGCAACACGCGCGCACCTCCCAATTATATTGATTGACACTATTTTCAGTGTCGCAAAGTATTTGCACATTTTATTCTGTTTGTTTCACATTTTCTCCAGCATTCTCTAAAGGCCAATTCTAACACAGAACCAGCACCTTTCCCTTTCCTCCCCATTTGGCACAGTCCAATGTCATTCAGTCCTCTAGGTAGGGGTGTATATTGTGGGTTCAGGTTGAGCCACTGATCAGATTGCTCTGCAACATCAGGCCCCTTCTGGAGCAGCTTTGTGACCATTGCCTTGGATTTTGTCGTGGGAGACGACTGTAGTATATAAATGAGACATCTTAGGTGTGTAAAGGTCTGCTTTATATGACCGTCAAACGGACGAAATCTGCCCTCCAGCAGAAGCATGATAGTATGCCCAGATGGCATAGGGTATGTCAGGGGTAGGCAATCTTGGCACTCCAGCTGTTGTGGCACTACTAGTCTCATGAGGCATTTCAAGCCTCTGACAGCTGCAGGCATGTTTCATAGAGGCAGCAGCATCATGGGATTTGTAGTCTTATCACAGCTGGAGTGCCAAGATTGCCTACTCGTGGGATATGTTGTCACATTTGGGAAGCTGCTTTTATTAAAATACCAGTAATCCTGTGTTAAAGATCCTTGTTTAGGCACTTCTTAGGGGTGGTAGGGTAACCATGCTCTGTCCTTGCACCCCAAATGTTCTCTTGTCACCCTAGCTTCTGATGGAGACTACATGTGGCAATTTTAACACACATTACACAGTCAGGGTACCATCAGGAAACCCACCCTGAGAAGTGCCCTGCAGCTATCACTAGAGTACTTACACGTAGACAAGTCGTGGCTATAAAAGAGTGCAGTAGATCAGATACAATAAGCTAAAGCACTTCATTAACAGCTATGAATCATCAAACTGCAGTGTAATGAAACCCAGTCATCTGTGCCGTGTTGGCAGTTTTAGCCTATTGCCCTGTGTACTATCAATTTCCCATCAGGGACTACCGAGACTTGGTCCTTCTGAAATTCCTGCAGTGTCCTTGAAATTTTCATTGCTGTGTTATGAAATCTTATTTTTATCCCACATCTGCTCAGAGCTTTTCTGCTTGCGGTGCTCACTGCCAGGAGAAAAGGCATAAGCTAGAAGCGCTTCCTCTTGTGGATGTATTATTGATTTTGTTACTGCAGATTTCTTTTTAACATAGACAATACATTTCATTGTCGAAGATGATTTACATCAGTAAACGCAATAAATAGAGATGCTCATATTAATAATAGTTTAAAAAAAAGACTTTTGTAACTCCTATAATGGCCTTTGTTTATCTTGGTTTTTGTTTCTTTGCAGCCAGCCACATTTATTCCCTGTGTAATTTGATGGCCTAAAGAGACCGTCGCCAGACCATTCATTTCAACAGCAATGGTCCCTTAAGATTATATGTGCATTAAGGGCTAGTTCACACCATCCCCAGTGCGTTCCGGCACAATTCGGTGCCGGGTCGCATCCCAGCCGGCTCGCTGCGTTCTGGGGCAGGAGGGGGAGTGGTGGTGCATTGAAGTCAAGGGCACCGCGGCCACGCGGCCGTTGTGCGATCACCCGCATCGGAACGCGTTACACCAATGCCTGCGTTCTGGTCCGGTGTGATCAGAAAAAATGCTGCATGCACGATTTCTACTGATCGCACCGGAACGCAAGCTTTGATGTGTCGCGCGTTCTGGTGAGGGCGATCGCACTGGGGCAGGGGGCGCCTGGCTATTGACTTAAATGTACCGCCACACTCCCTCCCGCCCCTGAGCGCAGTGAACCTGCCGGGATCCGTTCCAGTACTGAATCGTGCAGGTACGCACTTTTGTAGACATACAATGGGCCTGAGACTCCTGCTGGGTGCTGCCATTTTGGATGTGATATAAGTAGCCTCATTGACACCATATAGCATTCCACTTTGCTCCTCGCCCAGCAGCTACATAAAAGGTTATGGTGAGGTACAAAGATGCTGGGCCAGCACAGAGAGAAAATAGACTCCTGAATTAGGAAGGGGGTTGTGCTAGGAACTTGACTCTGGAGGGGGCATGTCGGTGCATTTAAGTAAATGGACGCGTGGCAAAACATTGCCTGCGTTCTGGTCCACTACAAACGCAAAAAAATAGAGCATGGGGCATTTTTTTGGACCTGAACGCAGGCAATGTTTTGCCACGCGTCCGATCACACCGCGGGCGGGGGGGGGGGCGTGGCTGCGGTGACATTTACTTCAATGCACCGCCATGCCCCCTCCTGCCCCAGAACGAAGGGGGATGTTTTGTGAGCGGTTGCTGTGCATTCCAGCAGCTGCAGTATTGGAACGCACAACAATTGGTGTGTATGGTCCCTTACAGTTCAGTCAGGTGTCATTTAACCTTTATTCAGTAATCGTGTGTGCTCATTACCTTCATTAAGGCCCATTCTGACCAGGATATTGTGGTAACGCAGTAAAATTTGTCTTAGTACAATGCATGATGGCATTCTGTGCAGTGCCATTGGTTTGTCCTTGTCCTCTTCATCAAAAATATTTGCCATATGTCCTGTGAACGTGAGTCAGTAATCACTCGGTATCCTCCTTCCACAAAACTCCCACATCCTCCTTTGATATTTAGGTATTTTTTATGCAAACTTTATCAAGAGCCATGTGTTGTCATCCTCTCCATTCAAGCTTCTGTTAGGTTACCTCAGAACTTGAGTCAGTCAGTAATCCTTCTACTACAAACATCTTTCATCTTCCTTCAAAGTTCAGTCAGGTGTCATCTGTGCTATAATTGTGAGTCACTACTACTACTACTGATCTATTATTTTATTACTAATCACTGGTCATTAATCCTTCACATTTGTTCCACGTATTATTTATTACCACTTTTCTATGCCACTTGTCCTTTAAATATCTCCCTTTTTTATTTTAGTAATAATACACCAACAGACACATTTTTATTTATGACCATGAGATTTGGTATTTGTCAGAAACAGCAGACTTGCATTGCTAAAGGTCTCTAAACGTTTGTGTGCCAGCCTCCAAGTCATCGGTTTGCCCGGTAATCGGTAGAGGTGCACCGAAATGAAAATTTAAATCGAAACCGACATGTTTATTTAAACTTTTTCAAATTTTTTAACATATTTTATTTATTTTTTTATAAGCTTTTTAATGTTTTATATTCATTTTTTGTATGAAATAATTTGATTTTTTACTTTACATTTAGGGGCTTCGGGAAAAGATATTGAAGTGAAGAACACGTCTGTTTATTGATGCTTCGTGTCAAAACAAATAACATTTCGGGGGCCACACAGGGTCCCCTTCATCAGGCTTGAAGTCATTGTCGTTTTAAGCCTGATGAAGGGGACACTGTGTGGCCCCCGAAACGTTATTTGTTTTGACACGAAGCGTCAAAAAACAGACGTGTTCTTCACTTCAATACGGTGTTCAGTGTGGTGTGCTGGAGACATCTTTAAAGGAGAACTATGAGGTGAGTGATTCCACTCACCTCATAGTTCTAGCCGGTGACCTGTCACAGGTCGGCTCAGTAGATCGGGAGGTGAGCGAACAGATACCGGAGTTCGCTCACCTCTCGATCCTGTCACGGCTCTCTACTGTCACTACTCACACGTAGAAGGTTGATTGTCTATGACACAATGTTCTTCCTGACTTACTGGGGTCTCTCCAATGTGTTCTTCCTTTATCTTCACTAAAATATCAGGAAAGTCTACAACAGAAAAAGAGAGAATTTTAAACTGGATTTGTAATTTGCTCTCCTTCCCTTCTATCCCCTGCTACTCCCTTAAGCCACCAGGCGCAAAGAGAAATGTCTGGCGCTTCCAGGTATGCAGAAAGATACCCTCTCCCTTTCCCCCTAAACTATATCCCAGAATTCCTGAGCAGCCAATGGCCAGGCATCATAGGGATAGGGAGAGAGTCCGAAACCTTGGGATATGGTCTGACCAGAGTGACTTAAAGGAGAACTATGAGGTGAGTGCTTTTCACTCACCTCATAGTTCTAGCCGACCTGTGACAATGAGACTGTCACAGGTCGACTCAGTAGATCGGGAAGTGAGCGAACACATACCGGTGTTCGCTCACCTCTCGATCCTGTCACAGCTCTCTGCCGTGACAGGGGAGGGGCTGGATTCCCCCCTCCCCGCTCCGATCCGCAGGCGCTGACTGGCGGAACGGACGGGAGGGGGCGGGTACAGCTGGCTCTGCCTCTAGATAGGCAGAGCCAGCTGTCCCTCACGCAGCTGGGCGGATCTCGACATCGATGTCGGGATCCGCTGCGGCGTCTCAGTATACCGCGAGCTGTAGCTCACGGTATACTGAGCTTAGGGTAATGGGAGGACGCTAGTTTGTGTCCTCCCGTTACCCTAAGGAGAACTATGGGGAAAAGCCCTGACCCCATAGTTCTCCTTTTTAACAAGTTTTCAGTATTGGCAGCGCCATCCGTGGTCACTTCGAGCGCCTACGCTGACAGTGTACCCAGTGAGGAGTGCAGCAGGATTCCCTAATAGATGTCCCGATTAACTTTGACCACAACTCAAGTCATGTAGTCCCGTCCTAGGCATCTCCCCCCTAACGCGTTCCACTTGTAAGGGCATAATCATAGAGACCAGTGGGTCCACATGGTGGAATGTCACGTGTGTTACCTGCTTTAGTGCAATGCACATGAGTACAATTACACATCACAACAGAATGGCTTATTGGTATGCGAGTCACATTAAAGCAAAACTGAATTTTGCTGCGTGCAGCTGAGCTGTCGCCATAATGTACAAGCATGCACAGCCTTCCTGGAGTTCTTTACCATGAATTAAAGGTTTCTCTTTTATTTACAAATTTGCTGTTTTTTACTTTATTTATTTTTGCAGGTATAAATCTACCCATCAACATTGCCAGGAACAATGGTATCTAAGCAGGCCTTTATGTTCAGCTTGGGCTCCCTCTATCTGTCCCTCCTCTTTGTATTCCTTCTTATGGACGTCTATGCCAGGCCGGCAAACAATTCTGCTTTAAAGGAGAAACCCCTGGAAAACAAAAACGAGAATGAGATACTGCCTCCCGATCACCTGAACGGGGTGAAGTTGGAAATGGATGGCCACTTGAACAAAGAGTTCCATCAGGAGGTGTTCCTGGGCACAGACACAGACTTCAATGAAGACTCAGAGCCTAGCAGGAATAGGAAGAAACTAGCCATTATCTTTTCCAAGTAAGTTAATGATTCCAACATGAGCCATGCTTTGGGCTCAAAGGTCAGTGACTCTGTTTGCTCTGTGCTTTGTGGTAAATTTACTTTTTCAGTGCAGTGCCCGGAAAAGCTGAAATGTGGCACAATTCCCGTAAATGAGGAACAGTAGAAGAGAGCAGTCAAGCTGGGTATACATGCTTTGATTTTCGGGTGATTCTTGATGAACCGGCTGAAATTCAATGTGTGGTTGCCGCTGTCGGCACCTTTTTGACCGGCATCTCTCAGTCAGCAGATCGAAGGAGCATATGGGAAAATTGGCAGCCGAAGAGCTGCAAACTCCGATCAGGTATTCTGACAGCAGCCGGTGCCCGCTGTCAAAATACAAAGGAAACAGCAAGAGATTTCACAATCAACACTTGTAAAAGTTGATGGAGGAATCTGTTCTATTTTCTTTGTTTAGCTAGCAGGTTGAACGAAGAAAATAGAAGCGTGTATACCCGACTTTAGTTACTTTATGGGGGGGCATTGTGATGGAAATGCTTCATTGTGTGCTCATTAGCATAGATAATCATTTAGCTCTTTCCTCCCCAGCATATGACTGTTCCTGGCTTGCCCCTTTCCTACATTAGATTTAATTTCTTTCACTTGTGGACACGTGGGGTAACATAGGTGATACCCAGTGCAGTCGTTAGGACAGTGCAGCCTGCCTAGGTAGAATTGCATCCCACAATCATGGCATTTAGGTATTTGCAGAGCTCCTATCAAGAGCCAGCCCACTGCTTGCATCAGGGCTGAGGACTCTTAAGAGTACTGAGGCAGGGTGCTGAGATGTTTTTCAGGAATCTCTACAGCACCCTGCGACCTCCTCCTGCTAGCTATGAGCTGCATTGCATAGAGAAGCATGGAGTCTCGGTGATGACATCATTGGGTCTTTTTTCCTAATTTCATTATCCTGTTTATGAGGGGAGAAAGGATGAAGCGGATAAAGCAACATATTAAAACAACAAACTTCAGCTTTAAGGAGCCAAAAAATGTTAACTGCAAGTTTCATAACTATATACCAATGAAGACGCAGCAGTGAAAGGGTCAAATTGTAGAGGTGCACCGACATGAAAATTTCAAAACCAAAATGAAAAAAAGTCAGGCCGAAACCTAAAATGTTTTAATTTAAATTTTTCAATGTATTACTAAACAGACCTAAAAAGGATTGAGGACACAGAGTACTCCAATGGTACTCCGGTATCATTGGAGCACTCATCCTGCTGTTCACATGTAATTGGCCTGAGTATAATTTCTCTCTGTATTGGTGCTTGTAGTTCAAGCTTTTAATTGTAGGTGACACTGTAGGCAAAGCAGGAATTTGTAGCTCCACAGAAAGGTTTCAAAATACTATTTCTAGTATTAGCATTACTCCAATTTTAGCTATTAAAGTGCGAGTAAACGTCATTGGTGTATGTGTGTCTTGCCTACCTCCTTCTGTGCTGTCCTCCAGTGATGATGGATCCAGTCACTTGTCACCACTGCATCCCCTGACGCTGCCATTTGGGAAGCCGGCTTCATACTGTGGGGCAGCCTGGCTTCCCTCCATGTGAGGGAGCATGGAGCCTGGCCAGGAAGCCGGCTCCATGCTCCCTCGCGTCACTGCCAGTCAGAGGGAATCTTCCCTTGACCAGTTGTTCCAGTATCTCGGGGTAAGTATCGGAGCATGAGCAAATGCTCATTATCAGCATCGATACCAGTATCAGTGCATCATTGAAGAAAAAATATTAGGGGTCTAAACAGACCCCGGTTATTTCCCTTTTTAAAATAGAGATTGATGACACAGAGTACTCAATCTCTTTTTCTGCTGCCCCTGTTATAAATGAACAGGAATCCTCCTATACTGAATGTTCCTGTTCATTTATAACATGAGAATAGAGTGTGTTTACTATAACTACAAATATGAATGAACAGGAGGTGATGTAGATCACTTCCCATAATTGGGGATATAGTAACCATACTCTGTCCTCAATTATTTACAAACACTCAGCGATCACTGACTGCTTGTACCTTGCTCTCCTTCCTGACAATGAGTACTCTCCTTGTCGCACTCCTTACCGATATGTCCCTTGTAGTGGGGGGTGCTCGCAGTGACCGCGGATGGCGCCACGAATGTCAGCAAAATTGTAGAAATGTCACCAGCACACCAGTCCTTTTAAGATAGCAAAAGCTTCATTTATTGAAGTTTTTTGTCATATGACCAGCATCATATGATCATAGCATCGTCAATGCTAAAGCCTGATGAAGGGACCCTCCGCGGTCCCGAAAGCGCTTGTTTGGTCATATGACAAAAAACTTCAATAAATGAAGCTTTTGCTATCTTAAAAGGACTGGTGTGCTGGTGACATTTCTACAATTTTGCTCTCCTTCCTTACAGCTGTCACAGGAGGCTGAGAGAGCGGTGCTCCGCCTCCTGTGACAGCACTGCAAGCTGTCTCCGCCCACACCACTCTCCCGATCTGTGACAGGAGGCTCTCTCCTCCCGCAGCACTCGCTGCCTGTAACCGTTTCTCTCCTCACCGCTGGGACACAGAGTGGCGGCCAGTGGGGAGGAGAGAAAGATTGGATGCACTGCTATATCGGCCAGAAAATGGCACTTTCGGCATTTAGCCAGAAGTGCCATTTTCGCCGATTTTTGTTTCGGTGCATCCCTATTAAATTGTATCTTTGGATAGAACTTTGTTAATATTAATTAGGACAGAAAGTGTTGCCAAATCCAGGGGTACAGTTGTCACCAGTGCAACCAGTGAGGGGAAATCCTCCAAAAGGAACGCTGGTTCTAATGACAAGAGGATACAGTATCTCTTCTCATTTTTAAACAGTTTGTGTCTCTAAGATCCAAAAAAAAAAAAATTACCTTTAATCACGCATAGGGCTGCAACAACTAATCGACATAATCGATTATTGAAAAAGTTGTCAACTTTTTCAATAATCGATTAATCGGCTTCCGATCAGTTGGCCTTGTTCACAGCTCCACACGCTGTGCGCCGCATCTCCTCCCCACCTCACGCTCGCCGTTGCCAGACCCGCTCGCATCCACGCACCACACAACGCACCTCCTCCCCGCCTCACATTTCCTGCCCATCCACGATAGGCAAGGCACGCAGGGAGATGTAGTAAGGAGGAACTATAGCCGATGCCATTCTGCATTCATTGCTGTATAATTTTACACTTTCCATTTCACTATATTGCACACCACACTATCTTTTTTCTTTTTTACTTCCACCGCTCCAGGCTTGCTCCATTTTTTAAACTTTATTTTATTGTTTATCCGATTAATCGAACTTAATAATCGGCTAACTAATCGATTTTGAAAATAATCGTTAGCTGCAGCTCTAATCACGCAGAAAGAAAAAACAATTAGAGGAATTCTGGCCATTTCTTAATCTATTTAAAACAACGTAACAAGGTATTGGCTAGAGATGTATTTAAGCTGTAACGTGAGCCCAACCCCAAAACCTTTTCACACCTAAATTTAGTGACATTAAACCCTCAGATTTTTTTAACATAAACCAATACTGTAATGTGTGCCTTACTGTAATCCATGGTTGTTTCCCTTGTCTTTGCTGTTCTTCCTTTTAAATCTGTATCTCTTCTCATGCTGGGGGAGAACTTCCCTTTGCAGCTGACTGCCTCTTCCTGTAGTGCTGGCTCAGGTTGTGAGCCTGCACACAGACACCATGTAGCCATTCCAGAGACAAGGCAGTCTGCTGCAAAACAGAAGTTCTGCCCAGCATGAGAAGAGATTCAGATTTAAAAGGAAGAGCAGCAAAGAGAAGGGAAACAACCATTGATTACAGGGTTTAATGTCACTTTAACCCCTAAAAATCCTCTAAAGATGTTGAAGTAAACCTGTCAAGAACATGAGAAAAAATACACTGGAAGCAGTTACCTTCCGAGAAAACCCAATGTCACAACTAGGGATGCACCGATACTAGTATTGGTGCCGATACCGAGTATTTCGGTGCTTCAATACCTTCCCCTATGCTGGAATTTCCAGTCAGAGGGAAATTTCCTCTGACCGGCAGTGCCACGAGGAAACATGGAGCCGCCTCCCTGGCCAATCAGGAAGCCAGGCAGCTTGTCATTACCCGCCGCTTCTTGATTGGCCTGGAAGTCAGCTCCATGCTGATTGGCAAGCTGGCTTTCCAGCCGATCAGCATTGATCCGGCCAATCAGGAAGCCGGGGGGCCGGGTAATGGCCCGCCACCCGGAATTCCTGATTGGCAGGGAAGCTGGCTCCATGCTGATTGGCTGGGAAGCCGGCTTCCCGCCCAATCAACATCGAACCAGCCAAACAGCATGGAGCCAGCTTGTTGGCGGTGCCATTCACAATAATTCCAAGCACGCGCTTGCATATCTGTATGGGAATACCGGTAAGGAGTGCAGCAAGGATCTTCCTTTCTTGGTGGCCGGCAATGACACACCACCCGGCTTCCTGATTGCTTGGAAATATAAATATCGATACTCGATGCAGAAAAAAAACGGTATCAGTGCATACATAGTCACAACGATCAGTAGATCCAGAGATCTAGACATAGACAGTGGAAATCCTTTTTTTTTTTCTTGAGGTTTCCACTCTCTGCACAATGCTGGAAATAATACTCCACAATGCACCAGCATTGTATTATGTTTTATTTATAGAGTGCAGTGCACAGTATGGAGTCAGCGGTGTGTTCTCTGCTCAATGCTGCATTAGTGGATAGTAGAAGAATGCAGTCACATTATCTGTTGCTTGCTTTAGATTTGTGAAGGAAGAAATTTGCAAACCACACTTATATGTTCATAAATGAGCCCATAGGTTACCGGTTCCCTCCCCTTTGTTGAATGATGGAACAGTGCTACTATTCGGAATATGGGAATTGTAAACATACTACATGACATGGAGGAATACCAGATACCATCTACCTCTTACAGTGACAGTAAACTCAGGAGATAAATCCTTAAAAATACATTCAAGTGCCTTAACTATTACCAAAAAT